GGGAAAGGATGCGCATTCTTTTAATGTCATTTCATGCCATCTCAGTTGACAACTGATGCCCATAAAAAGCAAGCTTTAGTATTTTAATTGCCACATCTTGGCAGTAACCTTAGATTATCAACAGAAGCTAACTCTGAGTAACAGTTTAGACTACCTGAGAACTGGGGAGTCTTGCTGAAGATGGAATAATCTGTTGGCAATCCATACAAAGTCGTTAACAAATCCAGCTAGACTTCTACACACACTGTTGTTCCTCTCTCATTCATGTTCTCTTTCGCCACTGCCCATCATCCTGCTCTTTATTATCATTTGAATATTAATTTTCCTGCACAGGATCAAATTTTGAATGCCTAGTTCCCAGCTGGTGGCACTATTTTGGGAACTGGGAGAAATGTTAGGAGATAGGGCCCTAGCTAGATGGAAGGGGTCAGTGAGGACAGATCCTTAGGGATACCTTACTCCTTCCTGCTTCTCTGCTTCCTGTCTGCTATGAGGTGAGAAAAAGTCCTCTGCCAGCTGTTCCTGTTGCCTTGATATCCTACCCGAGGACATGGAACCTCTGAAATGGGGCACAAAGAAATCTTTCTTCCCTTTAAATCGCTTCTATTGGGTACTTGGTATCAGTGACTATAAACAACACAAAAGCACTCACCAAGAGATAAGCTAAGCAAAGGCATCGAGATTGGAGAAGTGGCTCAATGGCTAAAAGTACTGTCTGCTCTTCTGGAGGACAAGGTTCAATTCCCAGCACCCACATGGTTCACAAGCATCCCAGGAATCCAATATCCACTTCTGGATCCTGAGAGCATAAGGTATGCACATGGTGCACACACACTCATGAAGGCAGAGTACTGTATACATAAAATATAAATCTTAAAAAGAAAAAAGAAGGAGGGAGGTAAAAGAAGGGAGGGAGAGAGAGAGAGAGAGAGAGAGAGAGATCTTCAATTAAATGAAGGTGAGAGACCAATGGATCACAGACAGGTGGGCCACATGGGTGGCACTGCTTGCTATAACAATTCATTCACTCCCTGCCTCATCTTGCACCACATACCTGCCTGTTTCTTGCCTTGCTGCAAAAGCAATAGAGAGGAACTACAAGTAAGGACATGCATGGGATGATCAGGCACATGAACTCTATTCTAGCTTTTTCAGAAACCATTTTAAAAGAGATGGAAAGCTTTTTTTATCATATTTGTAAATGAATGGCTGACTTCACCAAACAGAAAGCTTTTCTACATCTAAACGAAAACCTTTTAGTTCATTCCTATCAACAATATGCTACTGGATTTTAATGGTATCCTTCCATGTGGCTGCTCAAACTGCAGGGATATTAAAATCTAGACTGCAGCAGATATGCAAATTCTGAGACTGGCTCCAGCCAAGGGCCTTGAGTCCACACCCATCCCATGGGCACCAGCCAGCATCCTACCAAGTGAAGAACAGGGTTTGTGCACTTTCTTGGCAGTTTTAAAATCCTCCCACAGACCAAGTAACACACTAGAATTGGCTAGAAACATCGGAAGTTTGGGCCTGGAAAAAGCCTGTAGAATTGGGGAATGTGAACAGCTGGTGTACAACAATGTTTTGATACATTTTTTAAATGGTCTTCAAAATTCTAAAGTCAGCAGAACTCTTTTCTGACCTCAGGCAACATACTGGCAAACAGATGGATGAAGCACAATGTCTAATTTATTTTTTAGGAAATATTAGTTTAATAAACAACTTGAGCTTTTCTCAGGCTCTGTGTCTAGCTCCCTGTCTTCCCTCCTTCACTCTCTCCCCCGCCCCCAGACAATATGATCAGTCATTTCTATTCAACAATATATTATTATATATAAGCCAAGCACTTTACCAGTCACAGAAGCATGAAACCATTTCAGATGTTGCAGGGATGGAAGGATTCAGGGGCTTGCTTTACGGTCCCATGTGCCTTCTTGGTAATCCAAATGCAAGTGAAAGGCTCATCCTCAGAAGGTGGCTCCTTCTGTCACTCACCAACCATACTTCCAATCTAGCTCCATTCTATTTACCTTTACAGAGGTTTCCAACATAAAAAGAAGCCTCCCAGCAGTCTAGCCTCAAGACCTACTCTCACTGAAAATAAAGCCTTCTTGGTACAGAAATCCATTCTTCTTAGGTCAGGATGGCAACTATGGCCCAACCATTCCACCTAAGCTACAAGTGTAAAATGGCTGATAACAGTAATAATGGAAGTGAAAGCAATCCCAGCTAGTATTTATAATCACTAGTAGGAAATACCTCATTGTGTTTTGGTAAAACTGTTCATCAAAAGTGTATGGAGTCAGACAAAACTGGAGACCAATTTTTGCTGTGTCACCAAAGACCACAATGACCTTGGAGAAGCCCTTCAGCCTCTTTGGATCTCAATGTCTTCTGATAAAAGGGAATATTCTTGTCCTGCCTGCCTTCCTCCAAAAGACAGCACGCATTCTTCCCAGAAAAATAGCAAGACAATATGAAAGCTCATTACAAAATAGAAAAATAGAATGTTCTGACTATACAGGCTGCTCTACCAGGAAACTTCAAAGGTGTATTCTGTAGTCCTGAGACTAGCATCTCACCCCAGCAATCACTAATCATATAGTTGCACTGACTACTAAATTTTTATCTCCCATGAGAAATCGTATATGCATGCATGCATACACATTGTCAGAGCTCATCCTGCAAGCAGGGACCTGTCAATATTCTGGAAAATCCTGGATCCCTCTTGCTATCACTGAATAATTCTGGAGATGAGCAGAAAGGAGTGAAATAATAAAGGTGCCCTTGAGGTGGTATTGTACTTTTCTAGGAATTTGTACTTCGTTTTCATAAATACTGTATAATCAACTGACTTTTCTAAACGTGGTTCTTCTTTGGTTAGACTAGATGGCACTGTGGTATCACCCTTTTAATGCCCAAGGAAATCACATTGCATTACAAACAATTTTTGCTCCATTTGGGGACAATCGAAAAGGCTACAATGAGTCCTGGTTATCCTATAGATTACATTTGAAATCAGCTCTTCCTGGATCATTCCCAGTCACCCAGAACCTGAGCTGACCATTGTGTGCCTAGGTTATGGAAGTCCTGCCAAAGGACAAGGACTACTTAATAGATAATTCAGACCACATTAATAGTGTATGTTCAGACATCACATGCCAACCTTCATGTTCAAAGAACTGGAAACATGCCACATACATGTGAGAGACAAAGCTATGGCTTCCACGACAGTCAAGACTTCTCTTTTCCTTCCTCACCACTGCTCTAGGAGTGGGAGTCTACTTTCGCCCCAGAGATTGCTTTGATCACCATCCCTCAGTACATCTACAAGCTTAGCTAGCATAAGAAACCATTTACAGTACTGCCAAGGTGACCACAGTGCTGTTGTGACAATAACTTACACAATTCTTGCCATGAACTGAGGCGCAACCTTCCTGTGGCCAAGGTTTTCTTGAGACAGGAAAAGAAATGAGTTAGTATAGACAAGAATTGAAAGTTCAAAGGTTTCAGCCAGACCGCTGGACTTTCAGAAAAGCCACTGTAAACTGAGTCTGCGACCAGAAACCAGAGGATCCCTTTGCCGAAGCTAGATAGAAGAAACCACACCCGCGGTTCATTCTTAACAGTCACCTGCAAAACACCACTATGGCTAAGAAACTGAGTGGGCGTCCCCATGGGATATGGAAGGCAAGACGGGTCCAGTTGGGCAAAGGCAGCAGCAGCACCCTTGAAGGTCCATGATGTCACCAAAATGGGCAAAGCAAGACACACATGACCATGTCCTTACACACTGGAAGATCGCAGTTCCTCTCCCTGCAACTGACTCATTCATAGACTCTCTGACCCAGCCTAGATAATTTTTTTCAAGAGCTCTGTGAAACAATAGCCCTGGCTGTGCTGGTTTCACTCCAAAACAGCTCCTTTTGTCCACTCCACAGCATCCCATGACCTCCAGGAATTGGTAGAGAGAAGAAAATGCCCTGCTGGCTACAAACTACTCATAAATCAGCTCTTCCTGGATCATTCCCAGTCACCCAGAACCTGAGCTGACCATTGGGTGCCTAGGTTATGGAATTCCTGAGCCTCAGAAATAAGCTCCCAGGCCCCCTGAAGTCCCTAAAGGTTTAGAGCAACTTGTCAGTTAGTCGTCAGTCTGCCAGGGTGCCCCGTCATATCTGAAAAGGACTGTGGACACTTTGAGTGTAGGCAGCAGTGAGGGGCACAGGATGAGAGCTGGGAGGTCTCACTGAGTATCATCAGACAGTGGCAGAATGACACCCACTCTCCAGAGAAAAGTGAGGCCTGGGGTGGGGAGGGAATAGAACCCAGGAATGAAGACCACAGGAAGGTGAAAAAGACAGAGAAGCAAAGTGGAAAGGGAGATAAATCATAGAAAGAGAAAGATCAGGAAGAGGAAGGAAGGAACCAACAGCAGACAAGATGGGCCGAGAATTTTCCACTAGAGAAAGCCAGAAACTCAAAGGGGAAAGAGAATGTAGGTGCAGGAAACTGAGACGAATCACCAAAGAGAGAAGGAACTGGGCCTTCGAACCAGGTGAGGAGGGAAGAGGCAAAAGAGGCTAAAGCCAGAGACTCTGCTTGCAGAGCACAAATTTTAGGGCTCTCTAGTGCTCTGAGTGTGGTGCCCAGTTTTGGCTGCTGTTGGGGATGCTCATTCCAGGCTGCCAGGTCACTTCCCCCACAACCGATCTCAACCACCAAACAGTCCAACCTTCTGATGGGCAGACCAGCTGTCCGGGGCTGCAGCCCAAAGACTTCCTGACAGTGCCACAGAGCAAAGAAGATATGATCTAGGGTACCTAGGGGTTCTACCTATCAGGGACTCAACACTCAGGCGCTAAGGTGTGCACAGAGTCCCCAGCAACTGCAGGCACAGCCTTTCCCGCCCCTGGCTGTGCACAGAGTCCCCAGCAACTGCAGGCACAGCCTTTCCCGCCCCTGGTTGACCCACTAAGAAGTAGCCAAAGACTCACCTGGAAGGTCTCAGCCTGGCATCTCGCTTGCCGTCCACCACTGCGGGCACGCAGCTGGTCAGCTCGGTCCAGTCGGCATGCAGCCCGCAGCTCCAGCCGGTGGAGAACCTGGAGAAGAGCCAGGTCTCCCTCTTACCCGGCCGGTGGCAAGTGCATTTCTTCTGCCCCACGCGGCACTCACACGGCTGCTCCAGCTGGATGTTGCGTACCAGGTGATGGCCAAAAGTGGTGCCCCCAGTCTTCTGGATGTGCAGGAACACGATCAGGTCATCGCCCTTGATGTCGAAGTCTACCTTGCGCAGGAGATCACCGCGGCTGAAATTGTAGCGGGGTACAAACCTGGAGGAGTTCTCATCCTCCGAGCGGTACGGATCGGGCACCGGGGAGCTGAACGCCTGCAGGCGGAGGAGCTGGCATTCTGTGCCGGGGCACACGTATTGGAGAACGATCATGGCAAATAGGAACAGCATCACCAAAGCCAGCAGCAGCTTGTTGGATTTCTCATCCATATTCCCGAAGCTGGGGGAAACCCAAGCTCATTACGTCAGTCCCGCAGCTAGGCCCCGCTCCCATCCCCATCCCACTTGGCCCATGGGACTCTCCGGGGCTCCTGACCCTAGTCCCCTCCGCGTGCGCGAGCTGCTGACCCGAAACGCGGGCTTCCTTGGCGCCTGTCTCATTGCCCACCGAGTGGCCGCTGGGAGTGGGCTGGGGTTTCAGGGTTCCCCTGGAAAAGAGGGAAGGAGCCCGTGGGCTGCAGGACTTTGCAAGCGGAGGCTGCGCTGCCCTTTCCCGCTGAACGGCAGGGAGGGAGCCGCACCGCGGTCAGTTGCGCTCTCAGCCGGTCCCGAGTCCCCCAGCCCAGTCACCGCAGGCTCGCTGGAACTTTGAGCCTTACCCTCCAGCCCCAGCTGCCTTCCCTCTTCTCGCTGCCCCGGCTCACCCTGGACTCAGAGCGCGAACCCCAATTTCGCCCACAACGTACCTGGAAAAGGGACTGAAAATCTTGGAGAAGATCGCACTGAGCACGTGCTTGAGCGAGTGGCCCATGGCTGCCAGGCCCCGAGTGAGCAGGGCCCGGCAGAGGGAGCCCAGGTCCCAGCGTCGCCTGAGGTCGTGCATCCGCCTGCGGCGGCCTCGAGGCAGCAGCGCGAAGAACCGGGCGCACAAGGCTCCCGCCAAGAAAGAAAATGCCTTTGGGGGCTCGTCCTGGAGCGGCCGGGAGTTGAATCCCAGAGACACACCCCTAGGAGGGCTGGCGCGGACTGAGGCGGCGACCGACCCGGGCTGGCTTGCTGCCAATTCGGCCTCTACTCTGGAATGCCGGCGGGGACAGGTGGTGCGGGCGGGCGCTCCTTGCTCCAGTTGCAGCGGTGGTCGCCCGAGCGCCCGGGCTGCAAGAGCGGGCAGTGCCATTCCCCCCTTCAGGCAACTCAGGGTACTAAGGATCAGGAGCGAGCTTGAATTTATATAATAATGCCTCGCGCCCAAGAGCCCCAGCCACTTCACAAGCAAAAGACCTGCGTTTTCTCCTGTGCTGGAGAACGGAGGTCACTCCAGAGAGCGCATCACTCCACTTTGGCTCGTAATTTCAATCTCCCTTAAAATAGCAAAGGCGTAAATTGGACCTTTTCCCTCTCTCTTTGCCAATTTCCATTCTGCAACGGAAGAGGGGGTATTTTCTGAAAAGGTAAGTCAGCATGGAAATAAAGCATGACTAAAAAAACCTTACATGGGGGATTTTGAGCATTTTCAAAGCACACTCGCCCTTATTTCTCTCTCCCCCCCACACACTGCCGCTGAATCCCCGGCACCAAGCCAACCGCCCGCAGAAAGATTTCACCCACTACTGTTTATTGAATGAATGGATCTCTAAATACAAATCAGAGTGAGAGCATCTTACTCAAAATGCTGTGCTATATGAGGAAACTGACTCCCAGAGAGAATTAGATATATACCCAAGGTCACACAGCACAGCACTGGGATTTATCTTCAGAAATCCACGAACTGTCCAACCATTTTTTCATAATTAGAGCAGGTCTCTCAATAAATACGTATGTGTTTATTATCAAGCCCAGTTGTTCAAAAGACTCTTCTCAGCTGGGAAACCAGGGGTGTGAGAATTTAAGGTTGAATTTCCATCAGAACAAGGCCCCTGACAACTCGGGACCCAGACGTTTCCAATCTAATTAATAGCGGAAATTGCAATGCAATAAAGACACTGGGGTTTCCAATACTAAATGCACTCCTAGCCCAACAGATGCAAAAGTGGCGCGGGTTAGCAGCAATGGTTCAAAGTAGGAGTACCATTGGCAGTGGGGGCACCGGGAGAGGATGTTCTTAGCTCAGTGCTAGTGTAGCGACCCTGCTCTCCAGAACATTATCTCCTTTGCCATATGGTGAAGCAGCATGCGGATCCCTGATCCAGGAGTCCTTGGTGGTTCTTCATTTCATTACAGACACGGTGGCATAATAGCTTGCCCTTCCTGAGGCTCAGTTTCCTTTTCTGTCACATAATGTCTCCACTCGAACCGAATAGGCTAGCATGAGAATAGAATGTAGAAACCTTTGGACAACTCCAAACACCAGGTGCTGTTTCCCTGCAGCTCTTGTCGAAGTGTAACAAATGAGTCTGAGGCTAGTTGAAGTAAACTGGATAGTAGACCATTTTAAGGCAGAGCTCCTGTCCTGCCTGGACTTACATCCCCGGGGAATCTACTGGGACATTAAGGGATTCTTTGTCTAGCTGCTGCAGGTGTCAAGAATAGTACACCTCTTGGAAATCCTGCATTCGTGGCATTCCTGCATCCCTGGCCCTGAACTCCAGGAGCAAAGTTATACAAAGTATCTGGAGGCTGCAATACACAAAGTAGACCTCACTTCCTCCCTCCCTGCCCCCTCCCTGCCAAGCTCCCCAGGTTCTGCTATGTCTGTAGAGTAAGACCTACTTCCCCCTGGGGGGCAGGTAAGGATGTAAGCCCTGAAGCTACAAGGATTGTTATTTTCCTGGCCACCCACACAGTGGCCTCTTTGGCTGACTCAGTAGTTAGCTATCTATCCTCACCTTGTTATATAAGGCTCCCCCTGCCATTACATCACCATTATAATGGCATCCAGTGGATCCCTAAGAAAATACTTTCTAAAACCAGTGGTCCACACATTTGACTTCTCAGCTACTAGTTACGGAATTTTTATTCAAGAAGGATTAATGGGATTGGACTGTGGGAAAGGAAATTACCTTGGGTGGGGGATAGAGAGAGGTGGTGAACAGACCCAGGGAAAATCAGGATTTTCTCAAAGTGTAAAAAAGAAATCTGGGCACAAGTGTAAACACACATGCACAAACAGGCAAGCACACTCACAATATGAATACCAGAGGAAGCACTAGGCAGGCTTATCTCTACAGAGCCAGAGGAAGTAAAACGCACATACTGAGATACAGGGCTTTGCTAGCACACCAATGTGAATATATACAGCAGCTCACTGGAGGACATGTTCATTTACAAGCCCTTCCTCGACCCTCCTCCCCTTCATGTTTGTGAGACAAAGAAATTAATCATGTGGGCCAGCCAGGGGGCTCAGCAAGTAACAACACTTTCTGCCAAGCATGACTATCTGAATTCAATCCCTGGGACCCACAGGTTGAAATGAAAGGACCAACTATTGCAAGTGGTCATCTGACCTCCACAGGAACACAATGGCACATGCATGCGCTCTCTCTCTCTCTCTCTCTCTCTCTCTCTCTCTCTCTCTCACACACACACACACACACACACACACACACACAAATATTTAACGGCAAAAAATATATGCTTGCTGTTTTGAAATACATTCTCACTATGTAACCCTGAACAGCTGGCTTAGAACTTCCTATGTAGACAAGGTTGACTTTGAACTCACAGAGATCCTCCAGCCTCGCCTCTGTCTCTTGAGTGCTGGAATTAAAGGCCTGGGTCCCCACACCTAGCTCATGATGTTTTAAGCATTTTTATCTTGGACCACATTCATAGCTGTTCTCAGCAGGCTGCCCGCTTGCTGCAGGATAGACCCACAAGAGTGTGGCTTCTGGGGAGATATTGAGTTGAGAGGAAAAGAGCAAAAGAACAGGCTGAATTGCAAGGTCTTTGGTTATCCATCCAGGAGCAACTTGAGTTGCAGCAGGAATCAACATTTAGGATTCAGAGCTTGGAAAGTAAGGAGGCCACTGCAGTCGGAGTAGGGCCTCTGGTTGACTCCACAATGTGGGGAGGTTTTCAGTATTCTCACTGAACTCTCTTTAAACGGTTTTCAACAAAAGGTTGATAACTCAGAGAGCACAAAGGTCCGTCTGGCTTGTATAGGAGGCTGAGCACCAGGAGCCCTGTGTCTGGGTACTGGAAGCCGAGAGGACAACAAGCTTCCCTGGCAAGAGGGCCTTTGTTATCAGCATACCTCAGAATCCGGAGGGCACCCACTGAGATGGCCAGGTTCTTTTGTCACAGAACAAAGACGTGAACCAGGGACACGTGGATAGTGAGAGAACTAGTGATGGTCCATTAAGAAAGACAATGACACTCTTGAGAATGGGGGTGGGCTGGAGAGCTGGGACAAATCCCAGGCTCAAAACTCCCTTTCCAGGTTGCTCTGCTTTCTCTCACACTTGCAGACTGCATTTCCCAGGGATGCTCTGCATGGCTCCAGACAGCCCTGGTGGGAAGAGGTTAGGGTCCTTCTGGCTTCTTTCAGATGTTAATCTTGATGCGTCTTTCTTCCTGCCCTACTTTCCCACCACACCTTACCAGGGATGCTAAGAAGCCTAGGAGGCCAGGAAGCCACTTCCTTGCCAGCTTCTTTTGTCCTCTGTGTATAAGGAAGCAAGGTTAATGTGATTCAAAGAGCACTTTCCTGATCTGATAATGCCAAGATCAAGGTTACTTGTCTGCCTCGAAAGCCAAAATGCCACCGACAGTGGGAGAAAGTTGGATTTCTGGTCCTCAAAATGAAATTCTATAGTATTCTATGGCATTAACAACACAGGATCTCAGCGGCTACATTTGTTCGGGGCCTGTAATACACTAGCGACAGCAGGACCCTGTTCAAATTAGAAGAGAAATAGTGGAAACAATATTAGGAAGAGCGTGGCGCATTTACTATAAAGCATAGAACAATATGCTTTGCCCTCATCCTGAGTATTCACTTCAAGCCTGTTTTTCCAGCTGTCTACAATTTTTTTGAAAATGCTCAGACTGTCAATAATAGGCAATTTTTGTCACAAAGATTGAAGGCATGCAAATGGTAGAGGCCATTCATTTCTGTGTTTATGTCTCTCTCCAAACTGAATGAACACAGTGCTTAATGAAACGCTGTGCTCGGGCTCAAGGTTTAATATTATAAACAGGTTGGGTGTGTTATACATATCCCTCTCCACAGTTCTGTTCTCCCTCACAAAACACGGAGCTTTGATTTCTAGCCTAACAAAACCTGGAGCTCAAGAAATGGGGAGGATAAAGCTGGGGTGCTGTGCATACTAGGGGTGTGTGCTGTGGAAGTAAAATAAGCCCCAGATGGGGTTCCCAGAAACCTCATCAGTGGGACCATGCAGACTGATGATTGTGGAAGCATTTCAGGAACAGGGCAGTTTCTCCTTCTCGCTGAGAAGGAATGGCAGTCAGTTCATGCTGGGCTTTTAGAAGTGTAGCATGCCAAGCCTCAGCAACCATAGCCTCAGCTCCTAGGCAGTCAGCTCACTCTCTCTGCATCCCGGTTTCTGCACATAAAATAGTGAGCTGTTTCATGGACACAGTAAGAATGGATCCAACCTCAAGCGAGCCTTCTTAAAGAGGCTAGAGCAAAGCTCCAGAGAGAACATTGCTCTGGAGCTCAATTGGAGCTCTCTGTGTTCTCAGAGCCTCGGTTTTCTCATCTATATAAATGTGGTTCAGAGCTACCTCACTGAGTTCCGATTAACTAATCTACTGAGAATACATTGGGTTCCCGGAAAAGCAGACTTTTCTCTACCAGTTTTGACTCTGAATATCTTTGATCTGTTATCTTTTTTCTAATAACAAGATTCTGATGATGGGTTACAGAGATGGACCTATGAGCTAAAGTGGCTTTGTCCTCATACTATTTATCTTTAGTATTGTCTCACCTTCCTCCCACAGGTCTCTATTCCTCACTCTGCTGATGTCCCTTGGATCCATTCAGCCACATGAAGGAGTAGGGCATAAATTCATGAAAGAATAAGGTGCTTAAACATACTGAACGCTCGTTCTGGTGGAATACTCTCAAAGCCAGTAGGGGAGGGACTTGTGGAGCTAGGTGGAACAGACCAAAGTTACAAGCAAGTGAAGAGGGTGGGGGTGCTGGCAAGGCCAGCCTCCTCCCAACTCCTGACACCAGTTTTCAGCTCTACTCATGCTGATCTTGCCAGAGGG